CAACATTTTGAGACGCCACTACTGGTTTCCCCACGAAATGACATCTGAGAAATGAACACAGAAATTCCATACTGCTGACGCATCACTATCCAGATCTGGGTAGTGCTTCTGATTGATCGTGCCATGAGGTTTATTTACTTCAACCAATCAGAAGCAAACCCAGATCTGGGTAGTCACGCATAGTTAGTATGGAATTTCTGCCCTTGTTGCTCAGAAGTCATTTCGCGGGGAAACTAGTAGTGGAGTTGCACAATGCCACTGTTTTCACAGGCTAAAATGAAATGAGCTTTTAAGTGACAAACTGTGTTTTTGATTTACAAATTTATCCTTATGTTGAAAATAGTAAAACAATCTATTGTTCCAGAGGTTATTTCATAAAAGATAGACAGTTCAACAGTTTCTGTTGCAAACCACTCTAACACATTTTCTTCCAGGCGGGGGCGGGGTTTGGGATTAAGGAATGTTTGGTTTGGGATATGCCTGAACATATAACCTATACCAGACCCAGTTCGACTGAGTTGTGCTACCCTATACCAAACTTAACCCCTAAACTTCTTCATGAAACTTTTCTTGAGGAGTTCCATTCCACTTGCTGACATCAGCCTAGCCCTGTTCACTAACCCTTAATATGGTAACATTATGAAACGGCGCCTATTGTTAAGGGTCCAGTCGTAAAATCGTGGATCCCATGACTATTTGCGGGCTCACAAAGGATGTCGATGCAGGTCGCGTCCTTTGACTCTCTGAGTTAAGTGTTACCTTATTGTTTCCATGATACAAAGATAATTTAAGGTGATTCCCTAGTTTTGCACTGCGCATAACAAGATGGCCGCCGTAAAAAACAGCATGTGAAGTAATATTATTAAAATGAAGTTGTCTGAAGAGAAACACTATTGGAATTTTTTCTTGCTGTTGTTTCTTGCCAAGGTGAGACTCAATGTGTTGGGAATGTACATAACGTAAGCAGTACACGTGTTGCTGAGTTCGACCACCTCTCGGAGAACCTCGATAGTGGATGTTTAACTTGTGCTTACTCACTTTGATTTTCATTCAAACACTTTCTTTATCACATTGTGTCCTAAATGTGATATCTCGATGTAAATTCTGTAAAAACGGATTTTTTAATTCTTTCTTCCCCCTTTCACATACATTCTATTTTGAAACTCGCCCCAGTCCTCTCTCAAAAATCGGAGAAAATGCGTTTGGTGCGCACTTGCTGCAGCTCTAACTAGTACCGCAAAAACGAGTACGGTGACCCCCATTTTTTATTTCATGATTTTAATAAGGACAGTGCTTCCTTTCGATGAGAAAAACATTGGCACAACTCTATGTTCAGTTTTTTGGCAATTTTACTAAATTGTACGGATTGAGCCATCACGGGTCGAAAAGCGCGCGTCCAATTTAATTCTACTTTGGAGCGTAAAGTACAAACAAGGGCATTAAAAGGCATTTTTCTGGTACGTAAGTGGATAAACAATACATTAAAGTCAAATTCTGTGTGTGATGCCACATGCATCATCGAAAAAATCTTTCCGTTTTGTCTAGTTTTGGGCTGCCCGCAGTTTTTGTAAAAGGGTCCTAAATAGCCGTATTTGGCAGCATTGTGACATCAAAACGAGCACGGTGACCCCCACTTTTTATTACTTTTTTATCATCTTCTTCACTTGTTACATCAGTGTACCAAGTTTTAGCTACAATCTATGTTAGGTTCTTTTACTATGGAATCACCTTAACTCCATCGTTAGATGCTTTCATGCCTTGTCCCTGTCAGTATTTTACCATTGTATTTGTGCTTTTCTTTGTTGCTGTTGCAGTTTCAAGCCATCTTTGTGTCGTTTGCCACAATTTCAACTGTTTTACGTTGTTGTTGTGTGGCCATGTCGGTTTTCGGAATATTACCCTAACAGGGCCTCATTATTCTCACTTGCATGTACCTTTTTTGGAAGAAAGCAACTTCTGTTTTAGATATCAACCCTTTGAACCCTAAGATCAAAATTTGAATTCTCATTTGTTGCCCCTATTCATTTCCTACAGAAGTAGTGGGGAGAAGTTGATAAAATATCAAGCAAATTCATCTTGTGTGATCATGTCCGTAATTCTCATGACCACTCTGTTTTACAAAGCATTGATATTACAAGGAGAAATTTGATGCTGATCACTCTTGGGGTTTAAAGGGTTAAAAAAAGGTCATAACCGTGGTAATTGACTGGTTTGAAATATACAATGTAAGTTATTACTACAATAGATGATCAGGTTACTACAAGTTTAAATTTCTTATTCTTTATCACAGGAGAAACAGAAGACATCTGTATAGTAGAAAGATTATTCTCCAGTAGTCTGGTAGCTATTGTCAGTTTATCTGCACCCAGGAAACTCAAAGTTTGTCATTTTAAGGTAAAATAAGCATTTGAATCTTGGTTGCATTGTAAAAAGAGAGGTCCACATTAGATTTTTCAAGATGCTGGGTTGTAGTGTGACATCTCACTTATTTCTTAAAAAAGTATTATGAATAGGAAGTGAGATTTTGGGAATTAAAACATTTGAGACTGGGTATAGATTATCCATGGCTCGGGGACTGGACAGCCAATTATTGTGGACTTTCCCCATACAACTTAATGAAATTATAAAGTTCAGCTCATTTTTAGGGGCAGTGTAAGTTACTATATTGCAAGAGAAATTCTTCATACAGAAGCTCAAGCCAACTTTCCTTGTTTGAAAAAAAAGTTTGTTCATTTTACTACCCTATTTAGACAAGAGACCTTATTTTCTGGTGCATTAATATAGCACTTTGTTTAATAACATCCCTTCCTTGTTTCTTTAACTTGGAGTCAATAAGCTTTTTCAGTTATAAACAAAGATCACATGTGTACCAAGTCTTATGGACCACACACCACCAAGTTTCACACACTGTTTAAGACATCCATGCCAGAAAAATTATTCTTAACACTAAATTGATAAAAATATTTTCCCTCATGACAGTTAATGAAAACAACTAACTGACAAAAAATGAAAAAAAAAAAAACTCAAACTGTCTCAGATGAACATTTTATAGGCATACACGTAGTTTTGAAATTAAGGAAGCAGAAAATTATATGTATCTAAATTTGTCAGTACAGTCATATGACTCAGTCAGTATTGTCCTCCTGAACTTTATTATTATTTTTGAAAGTTCATAGTGCTAACTGTAATAAAAGTCACTGCCATACATCCAGAAACTTGTTTCTTAATTATGTGATTCCACTCTCTATTGTCTTTATGCAGAAAGGCACAGAAATATGCAATTACAGTTACCCCAACACAATCTTAGCTGTCAGACTCAATAGAGTGGTAAGTAAAGGACTTTTAATTAAGTTATATTTTACAAATTATAGAAAGTGCACTCTCTGAGTGATACTTCTAGATACAACAACTTTATTTATTTATGTCAAAATCTTGGTTGCACAAATAAATTAATTAAAACACAACCTGCTAGTAGCAAAGGCTATTCGAGGCATGTTGTGTAAAAAAGAATAAAAAGAATAAAAAAATTAATAAAGAAAGAAAAATAATTAGGTGGATTTGTGAAATAAAATGCAAAGAAAAAAAACTGAATGGTAGACTTTGTCATTATCAATTGTTATTTTAATGATATAGTTATAGTGGGATTCTGCAGCTCAAAAATTCCATGCGTGCTACCTGAAGCACACACACATACTGCATGCACGATATGATATGATAGGGCTGTGCTTTAGCAGAGCCTTGTTGCCCCTTCCACCCAACTTTTGCTCTCAGGCGACTAGAAAATTTTAGTTTTTTCATGAAAATAATATACTGGTCAGCCTAGATTTTACAAGATCAGAGTGCTGTGGTTCTTTTAAGTTTTCTTTAGAGGACAGCCTTGTGTGTTTGGAAATTATTATGGTTTTATTCATCAGTTATTGCACAATTATTGATGTTGTTTTTTTGTATTTTTGCAGAGGCTGCTTGTAGTACTTGAAGAGAGTTTATATATTCACAACATTAGGGATATGAAGGTGTGTTTACATTACCATTGTTAAGTCCAAACATATTATATTATATTATTGTAACAAATTAACCTATGTTAGCTGACCTTTGAAAATAACTTCTCTATGTTACTTAAAACCTAAATAATTAAAAAAAAACGAATTTCAAACTAACCCACTTGTAGTTCATTCTTACATGAATTCCCTTGGGTGCCTCTCTCATATTGTAATAAACTACCTTGGACATTATTATTATCATCAACTTCGACGTTATCCTTTGACTATCTTTGAAACAGATGTCTGTATCATAGTCTCCAGGGCCAAGTTGTTCGAAGGCCATTTATTGCTAACCTGGGTTAAATTTTAAAAGAGTTTCTTTTTCTTTTGTTCAAAAGCACTTTCTCGGATAATTTTCTCTATTTTTTAGAGCATCCAATCATCAAATTGTAGACTAGAAGAATTAAACTGAATTTTCGTATTAAGCTTTCATATCTGAAATCTAACTTCACACCAAATCTGGGTTATCTTAACCTAGCTTTGAACAACCTGGCCCAGAGAAGAATGTGAAAAATTGCCCGGGCTATGGTGCATAAAACTTCTTAAGATGGAAGTCGTAAGTATTGTTTCAAAACATTAGGTCATTGTCCTAGAATTTAAGAACCCACTTATCGTAAGTACGTTTTATGCAACCTGGCCTGTCTTTGACCCTGAAGTAGAAATAGTTTGCATAAAGCTCTACTCTATGCCATGATCATGAAGATGGATGAAATTTCACGTAAATCTAGGATGACTTTTTTGATCTCATTAATAAGTCATTACCATGCTGATCAGGGCTGAGTTGCTCAAAGCATGGTTAGCTTTGTATCAAAACCAATATGTTGTCAAGGTATTAAATGCTGGTTAACGATAACCATGCTTCGAGCAACTGGGCCCAGGTTAATATGTAACATACATGTAGCTCCCCTAAAACCTGTTCTTAGTAAGCTGGCCCATTTATGATTATCACACTACACAATTCAAGTGGTTGTTGTTGTTGTTTGTTTTTTACGTAGGTTCTACACACGATAAGAGATACACCACCTAATCCATCAGGTTTGTACCCACCATGTTCTTGACTCTGTTATCTATAAATACTTCAACCATACATACAGTTGAACTTCCATTAAGAGGCCACTATTGGGGTACCAGGCAAATGGCCTCCAATTATTCATGAATTAAGGCTAGGAGACAAAGAAAGTAGAGAATCAACCTAGTTTTAAAAATTTTAACCTGAATTTAATTTTTACCTGTAACATCTATGTGGGATGGAGAAATTATGTGTGGAGAAATTTATTTGCTTATCTAAAGATGATAGTGACGGGCAAGTTTTGTCTTTAAACAGTTTCTGTTTCTATATGTCAGAAGGCTTTGGAGTAAAGGCAAAATAACACAACACTTGGGCACTTTTGTTATGCAATTATAAAAGTGGACTTTCTTTTTTATAACAGAGTGGAAAATAACAGGCTTTCATTGCAGTTGTATGAGTGTGACGTTATATAAATAATAATTATTTTTGTTTCAGGCCTCTGTGCTCTCTCAGTCAACTCAGATAACTGTTACCTTGCTTATCCTGGAAGTAATCAGGTAAAGTTTAGGCTCTCTGAGTTACCTACAGTTGGACCTTCTTGTAAGCAGCCACCCTCTATTAAGTGGCCAGTAACCAAAGTCCAGAAGTAATAATCTTACAAAAGAATGGGAACTTAAGACTCTATTTAGCGGCCCCCTCTATTAAGCAGCCAATGAGAGTCCAACGAGAGTTCCTTTCTTGTTTTCGTCACTATTAAGTGGCCTTCAAGAGATTGATACACTTTATGTAGTTATATAAGAATATGATGAAGGAAAATACAGTCCAAGTTAGAAGGTGATGATTAATATTTGATTACTGTTGACCAGTTATGCTTCTCCTCCCATGGTGCATTTGTTTCAAACTAAAGTGATGTTTCTGTTAAAGATTATCACTACTTTATGATGAACCTCTGTTGAGCAGCCAACCTTTATTACATGCAAGTGGCCACTCAATGGTATCCTGAGGGTGGCCGTCTAATGAAGGTTCAACTGTATTACCTAATCTCACTTTGCTTGCTGTTTAAATTTGAGGTTAAAAAACTCCCGAAAAAACTACAGAGCAGATAATGATTCTGTTTTTTCCTTAGATTGGGGAAGTTCAGATATTCGACTGTGTTAACCTGGTAAGTAATGCCCTCTGAAGCAAGATTCATCAGTGAAATAAGTTGTAATAAATAAGTCTCTGGTTTGACTGTAGTGATAGGTGTCATTTAATTCAAAATCTCTTGAAAGAAGGCTAAGGACATTAAATTCACTTTTAGAGTTGTGACTTTACAATGTTCTTTAGTTATGACTATGAGCACGAGATCGATTAGAAGTATAACTTTGGATCTTTGAGCAAGTTTTTCAGTTTCTAAAATTGTCATTCCCCCTCCTGTTGCTTACAAGAATATTGACAAATTGCAAGAGATAAAATTGCCGGGACAATTTTTATGTTGAGCACATGAAATTGGTAAAAATTCTAATATTGTTTGTTTCCAGAGAGCAGTAACCATGATTCCTGCTCATGATTCTCCTGTAGCTGCCATGGCGTTTAACAGTGCTGGCACCAAACTGTCAACTGCATCAGAAAAGGCAAGTTTGAAAATATCTAAATTTTCCTGTCTTTTTTTCAAAGTTCTTTATCTTCAACATCGCTGATGAAAACATGACCAATCAAACATGTATTTAATTCAGCATTGTATGAAGTAGTTACAGACCACAAGGCTTCCACCTTAGAGAGGTCTTCTTTTCTGAAACGTTATCCAACCACATGTACATTTCTTTATATAGCATCAAGAAATAATCCTTCTTATTTGTGCTCTATATTGTCGAGTGATTTTTAAGACAATTCAAGATTCATAAAAGAATTGCCTAGATTTATCACCCCTTGTTTTAAAGCATTTCTTGCGACAAACAGCAGTACAAGAGCTTAAAAAATTGAATTCCAGCTTGTCCTTTGGGCAAGCAGCTCTCACATTATTGCTCATTTTGATTTGATTTGACCCTTCCCCATTTGGCAAGTGAGCGGCTTTAAATGTTACTTGCTCAGCAAGAACATCTTCTTGTCCTATGGACTGCTTAGTCTACTACACAACCGTTTTTAGTGTCGTCACGCAACGCCCTAAAAACAGCTGTGTAGCAGACTACGGACTAGTGGATGGGACGTTTTTTGAGCCTTGCATGCATGAAGGACATGTACAACCTAGTTCTACGTTCTACGTTCTTCGGAATGATTACTGCAACAAAAATGTTCATTTCATGGGTATTTTATGCACTTGGCATTTTTTGGTACAAATGTACCTCTAGTGGTACAACCGTGCAATGTATTTGGACACATGAGGTATACATTGCCCAGTGTTATGGCAGCTTATGTGACTTTTTAAGAAATCATTTGGAAAATGGACACGTTTAACTTCTCAGGGACTGTTAAATCTAGCCCACACTACTTGACTTATGCTGTCTTAAAAAACTGTAATGCTTCAGTTACCTACCAGCCGAGCATGAAAGTAAGCAAGAATAAAGTTCTATAAACTTTGACTAACGTCACCGTTTGTCCTTTTATTTGTCTTAACAGGGAACAGTCATTAGGGTATTTTCAATTCCAGATGGAGTAAAGCTTTATGAATTTCGACGAGGAGTAAAACGGTACATTGTTTTCAACACTTTCATAGATCTTGACTTTGCCAACAGTATAAGCATGGTAAACAGGTTAGAGTAAAATGCACACACCTACTAAGTACAGTTATGAATCTATGAGAATCATATGTGAGAACTGTGGGGTGAAGATATATATGAAAGAAGACCATCGCAGTTATTGACGCAACTTTTGCAGCTGCGCAAAGAAAGCCTAAAAAAACTTCAGGCTTGTAAGGGATTCAAACCCTTGACCTCTGCGATGCTGGTGTAGCGCTCTACCAATTGAGCTAACGAGCCAACTGGCAGCAGGTTGTTGAATTGGTTCGTTATAAACCCATGAAAGGACAGGTGGTAAATAAAAATGAATGTATTCGTGAACCAAATAATGCTTTGACTGGCTAACAGGATGGGGGGAGGCGAGCTGTTGCACTGTAAAGCGAGTCATGTGACAAAGGTGAAAACTCTGATCCTATGTTGTACCCAGGTCCCATCCAGTATGATAGAACTTTAATTCATTCCTCTTTTGCAAGCTCAGCCAGATAGGAAAACGTTCTTATTTTGCGTATTTTGTTTGCTTTGTCCAGATGTGTGACCATTAACTCACTGGCTTTCAGCCATGACTCATTGTTCTTGTGTGCATCAAGCAACACAGAGACAGTACATATTTTCAAACTTGAAGCACCAAAGAAGGAGTAAGTAACATAATCAGGAACTAACTTAGCCACACTAAGGATTATGCGGTGTAATTTTTTTACATGTCTATGTATTTGGGTTGGTTTTGGGTCATTAAAACTATACCAGGGTGTTATTGTTGAATGATTTCTTGTGTCTGAAAGTTTGTAAAATCAGAAAAGCTTCCTCCTTTTGCAATAGTCGTAACTTGGATTTTACTCAGTGGTTAAATGAAAATTGACACTTAAACTAGTAAACACTAACATACTTGAAAAAAAAAAAACAACACTAGGAGTGGTTGCCTGTGTTAGCAGCTTGTAGCGTATTGTTTCATTTGGCAATATTTTTGTAGACTTTGGCATCTGACACACATCTTGTGAACCTTTTTTTAAAGATTCCAATAAGAATTGATTAGTGTGTACCTTGAGTTTCATTAAATGAGCATGGTTTTTATTTATTGCTGTTCATGTACTTGCAGACCTACAGATGAGGCTGGTGGTTTGATGGGTTATTTTGGCAAAGCACTTTCTCCTAGCAGTTATCTTCCAGTTCATGTGAGTAGGTTACCTTCGATGACAACCAGAAACTCTATCTTGTTCTCAGTGTGCACTAACAGCAGTGGCTGGGTTTCAGTCGTAGTTTTAGACAATAAATTTTGGATAATGTTTGTGTGATATCCATAGCAAAGCCGATCGAGGTGCAGTACAAACTGGTAAGTGATATCACCCAAGGCCGGAAGCCGAGATGCTGGTAACACTTACCGAGATATTGATTATTCCGGATATCACAAAACCCGAATCAAATATTGTTTTATTAAACATTTTTTAAAGAAAATAACGACAAATACACCCTTGCACGGATCACAGTTTGAAATAATGCATTGCGGGCGCAACCTACAGATCACTCAGTTATTAGTCAGTTAAAGAAGTGTTAAACAGCAAAAAGTTTTGAAGATGTTAAATGTGCTGGTGTTTGCCTGACGAAGCATGCAGTCGTGATAAGATTTGGAATTGACTGACATAAGTAACAGTTAGAAAGGGGGTTACTGTTTCATAGGACTTCAGTATTCACTTAGTAACTAGAACGTTACCTGGTATAATTATATCTTTAGATGGCTGAGGTTTTTAATCAAGAGAGAGCGTTTGCCAGTGTAAGGTTACCACAGGCAGGTAAGAGTTTCGGTTAATTGTTCAGTGGCAGACTACTTCTTGTCACATTTTGTAATTTATGTTGCTGTAAAGGTAGTTCGTTGCTTATTGTAACGAGGCCAGGTTAAACTAACAAGCCACAGTTTTATCATGTGTTCGTCAAGTGTTGGGTAGCTGCAAGAGAATCCTTACCTATTGTAACCTTCTCTCACGTTGTTATAAACAAATGAGAAAAAGATCACGACGTGGTTAACATTGCTTCTTTTTTCAGTGTTTCATCGTCTTTATAATCATACTGACTCGGCTCGCACAGGCCTTAACACTCAAACTATAACAACTCAGAGAATAGACACAGTTTAAAAATTAAATTGGATGACACCAAATATATTAAGAACAAGAAGTTTAATACTAATGGTGTAGAAGCAAAGTCCTTGAAAAAAGAAATTATCTTTGAAAAGTACATGAAGTAATGTCTAAGGACTGTTTGAACTTAGATAACAGGAATCTAGCCTGTTTCCGGCGTTCAGATAGTGGAAAATGGCGCGAAATGGCGAGCGGAGCAAAAAATAAGGAAGAGGGAGAGGGGAGCGAACCCCTGTGAAAATTGTTTTCAAAAACTGACGCGCTTGTCTCTCGCTTCTGTTTTTCAGTGTTACGCCCTCGTGCTACTCCACCAACTTTAAAGAAAAATAAGAGACTGCTGTCAGTCTAGTTTGATCCGTAATTTCCTTACACCTTACGCTTTCGAGGCGATATCGCTAATCCTTGCAGTAAGCGAAAATTGCGTCCTAAATGAGGCCTTGTATGACAAAAGTATTTTCAATCGCTGTGTGTCTAGAACCTGACGGTGTCCGGGATGCTATGGGTTCGACCCGGAACTCTTTGTTCCCCGTTTGCATTATGATGGAAATTATATCTTTTTTTCTTCTTTAGCCTTGTGTAATATTCAAATTTTAACTCTCGTTTAACAGCATGGACTCTGTTGCCTATCGCACTTATACTTCCTTTTTACAGATGTTTTACATATGAATATACTTAATTACAGAGTAAAATATCTGACTCTTGCTGTTTCACACTAGGTCTACGAAACGTCTGTGCAATAGCAATGTAAGTATTTTCAGTGTTCATAATATTTTTAGTAATCCTGACTTTCAAGAACACAGAGGCCGAAGTTGTTCAGCAGCTATGGTGACTAATTTTGATCCACCCCACCCCTCTCCGTAGGATTGGAAAGCTCCCTCGACTGCTGGTTTCAAGTGCAGATGGTTATCTTTACATTTACAATATTGACCCGGAGGAGGGAGGGGACTGCACACTGCTCAAGCAACACAGGTACCACGTCCATCAATTTCATCGTGCTGGTTTACATGAACTTTTTTCTCTACACTTTTAATAGTTACTTCTGTCACTTAAGCCCAAGACGCAAAAAATATATGTGAGATAGTAAAGGGGATTGACAGTTGTTGTAATTTTGGAAGTCATCTTATACTGTGTTATTGTGTTTAGATTAATTGGTCAGGGGGAAGGACCCGATAAACCTCTGGTAAGTAACTATACTTAAAGTTTTTTCTCTCGTCTTCCTCTTCACTGGTATCAAAATCAAACTGGTTTACTCTGATATCGTTAATAAGTTGCTCTGTCCCTTCAGATATGAGGATGGCTATCCTTCCGCGCCGAACCTAGTATAAATTTATGACTCATTACAAGACTTGTGCATGGGCTCTAACACCCCATTTCAGATCGCTATGTGGCAAGAGCTTTCTTTCCATTCCAGACTACAAATGCGATCTGTTGATGTGCCACTTTTAGGGCTGATAATAGGTAAGGTAGGTAGTTAAAGGCGCACACAAGCCAAAGGCCCACACGGCGGCCCGAGCTTATTTCCGGTTTCCGTAGCATGAAGCAAGCCTAGGAGTATTGCTCCTTCCCCTGGACGGAATGCTAGCCCATCGCAGTGTGTCGCCGGTACCCATTTATGCACCTGGATGAAGAGAGACAAAGTGGAGTAAAGTTCCTTGTCTGAGGAAACAACGCAACGGGCAAGGCTTGAACCCCTGACTTCCAGATCCAGAGTTCGAGGTGTTAACCACTCAGCCACACACGCCTCCACTAATTAGGATCGATAATACTGTGGTACTAATTATCTCGTCTCCCAACAGGAAGAGGAAAGCGCTCCCTCAGATCCTAGTTCTTCGCCGTCAAACAAAGAGGACGATTCCCAAGACACACGAGCCCGGGCCTCTTCCCAAACCAGTCAAAACTCTCCTCCCTTGGGGAGAGAAGGCACGGGGGATTTTTCCCAAGCCGCCTCGGCCTTTACTGACCAGCAAGGGATTGGAAACCTTAGATTGGACGATGAAACAGAGTATCCACCGCTGACTGTGCATAACGACTAGCTCTCTCGCTTAAAACGTAGATGATATTTTGCTGCCAGATATTCTTGCTCGAAAACGTGTAGTTTAAGCAAAGAAATCTGCTGCACTGCACAGCGCTGAACATTTTAAACCTTGCTATACGTACATTTTACATTTACAAGATGTGTTGTGATTAGTATGTCCCTGATGAAGTGTTTTTCTATTCTCTTGCCTCTGAACAAGTTTTATGAATGTAATGCCACTGCAAAATTTTCAATACCACAAAAACGAACTCAGCGCCCTCTGTAACTTCACCGAAAACAATTCTGAAAAACAAAATTCAGCCCAAAAAAGTCAAATAAAATTGAAGCATTTCATTGTTTGAACACGTTTAAAACGAACAAAATCCGATTGATTAGAATTGTAGCCCATTGTAAGGTTTTGCATCTCAATGCTTTTTTGAAAGGAGCAGTTTTCATTCGTTCTAAAGTGAGTGAGTGTGAGCGAATGCTTAGGGTGGGAAGTTTTAAGTTATGAAGTTAAAATATAGAGAGAATATGTATCTAATTATTCCAAATCATTAAAATTCAAGTTATTATATTTTACTTAAGTCTGGTTTTGTAGAAATGCTTCAAGGGCTGTATCATAATTAGTCAGTCCACATTACTGGGTCAGAGCTAAAGTGATATCGAAACTGAGTAGGGGACCGAGTCATCTTTTCTTCCACTATTTACTCTGAAAGAAAGGTTATCTAGAGATTCCCTCAAGGAGGAAAACTAAGGATTATCCGAACTAAGGAAGAAAACTAAGGAAGGTCCTCAGGGAGTCCATTCCAAATTGTTGTAGACACCGCAAATGAGCGCATAGGTGTCCTGTTCAGTTTAACAATAATATTGGATAGAGAATGTATCACGAAATATTTTATAAACAAACTCTTTTACAGTCCACAGCTGATCCCAAAAGGCCGAAAGAATCGAGAAAGAAGCTATTGTAAGACAAGACGTCTCCTCCAGAGCGTAAGATGAATCGAGACAAAAACAAGTCACTACTCTATGGTCTCTTTTTGCCCACAAGAAGGGTTTGAATGGCTGGCTGGGCATGAGGCCTTAGATGTGGCTTACAAGAAAATTTCTCTAGTACGCAAAGTGATTGGAAAGCCGGAAAGAAGCTATCTTAAAATTGCGACATTGCAGAATGCTTGACTATAATCTCTGTTTACGTGTTCAAGCTAGGTGTGAAAGCTTTAGATGTGGTATAGTGTTTACAATAACAGTAATTAGACCTTCCTTGGACAGTTATCAAGTCATTCAAAGCTTATAAACAGACCAAGTGATATCACCGCCAGAAGAACAGGTGCCTTAAAATTCAGCCAATCAGAAAGGGTCATTTTGAAACATGCCACATATTTTAACAACGTTAATGTATAAGCCGCTGGCAAAAAATTCTAGTATTTCCTTGTCTGGAAACGTTACATTCTTTGAGTTGAAATTCAGCTTTCCCAATTGCAATCAATATCAAAACACAGATTTGGGAGAATTTCGTCGCAGCTGAGGTACTAGTTTTCAAGTGGCATTTTCCCTTGTTAGAGAACGTGTTACGTTAATCTATATTCAACAGCGCCAAAATGCAGAAGCAAATTCTTGTTACGAAAGAATACATCGTGAACTACCCGGAGGAAACAATACAGACGGCTTTTGCAAAGGCGAAAAAGGGGACCTTGGAGCCCACCGACCTGGTAACCAAGGTAGTGATCGTTGAAGGGGGTCCGAGTGCAAAGCAAACCCTAACAGCAAGTGAGCTGGCTGAAATATTGGACATGCAGGTTGGCCACCAAAAAAAACAGGACAAAAACAGCACAGCTGCATTGAAAGGAAGAAGACCCAGTACCGTCATTTGTGAAGCGTGTGGCTAAATCCAATGATTTTCGATAGAGACCTCTCTCCTTTACCTTTCTTCGTTTTGCACAGCGGCATTTTAGTTTGTCAAGCATTCCTATCGTCAGTTGAATTGGAAAAAAAAAACAAGTGAAGAGCTGTCGTATTGGTTGGGGCGGTAACCGCTCAAACTGAGCAAAAAACTCCTTCTGAAGAACTTCAAAGTTCAGTAGATGAATGGCAAAGACTGCAGATGACTCTATATAGCTTCAATCTATTGATGTTTATATTAAGAAATTAAGCCTTTTATAGCTTTGAGCGCAGTAAACCGAAATAATTGCCCAAGTCACTGCTCATCACTAGTTTTAGGCAACCTTGTTCCCAGGGCCTTTTCACTGTTTCTTAATGTTCCGATCGTAATATGAACAAGGCGCTATGGAGCGTAACAAACGTCAGCGTCGTGGTTGTGGATTACTTGTGAATGTTGAGGAATAGTAAGAAATGATATTTTTCCGGATACTCTTCCATACAAATACCCTTACTTTTCTCCTTTTGTGTTACAGAAGTCTTAACTTTTTCCCCGGAAGTCTGCTATATATAGGAGCATGACTCCGTGGCTGTAATCCAATTCGATTATAATTTCTGTCATAAATAAATTGCGTAAAACGAGATCTCATGAGTTCCACTGCCTTCATTTCCTCCACAACAACACCTTCCTTATGTACATATATGTCAGTAAAACGCGGGTTCGGGGTCTATCTTTTTTTTTAAGAATGCTGTTTTAGGGTTAGGGTTAGGGTTAGGGTCGGTTGACAATAACCCTAACCCTAACCTTAAACAGCATGCTAAAAAAGAAAAAGATAAACCTCGACCGACTGGCCCCGACCCCGCGTTTTACTGACACCTGTTAACTCCACACCTTCTCCAGCAACGTAACTAACATCAGTACACTCCCTTACAAAACTTGCTGAAAATGCACAATCTCAGCTCCAAACCGAGGATAATTCATGTACAAGATCGCAACATAAATTTTTACATGAAAAACAATAACACGCTATACAAAAACAAATATAAAACAATCCATATATCGCTTTCCGAATCGCTTCGCCACACGCAACGCAAACGACCGCACCTCTTTCTCTTTCGAATTACTCTTGTTTCAATCTTCTCCAGTTGTCGAAATCTCTTCACTCTTAAAATTTATACACATTTCTTTCGCCAAACGTTTCACCATTGTACAATCTTCACTTTCTAAAAACTGATTTCGTCTTATGTCTTTGACTGTCTCAATAGTTTCCTTTCATTAAGTTTAAGCTCGCGGACCAGCCCATTCCGAAAACGCCTTATTTCCTTTTTTGGTGTGGGCCTACCGCGATTCCGAGAACAGTGTGTGTATTTGTATGTGAAGTCGCCATACAACACAACATACGTATTGCAACAAAATATTGACTCCTTCCTCTTCTTCAATAGTCGCCCATTTCATCCCAACTTTCCAAATCACTCGGATCAAAAACATCCAACTCTTCTCTAATTGGCTCATCGATTTCGCCCTACACAAAATAAACCAATCAGAAAATAAAATCACAGAAGCGGCAAATTCAGATGACCTCTGAGGAAGCGTGCCCATTATCTCTTCTCACCACTGCAATAACATAAACAAACCATTTTTTAGTTACGCAACGTTAACCGGAACTGAACGCTTTTCCCTTTATGAGCATTGACATTTCCAATTTTGTATTGCTAAATGCCTTTACTCTTATAACAAGACGCTATGGGAGCGTGCACTTCGGCGTCGTGGTTGTGGAAATAATTGTGAATGCGGAGGAATAGTAAGAAATGATATTTTTCCAGATACCCTTCCGTACAAATACCTTTACTTTTCCTCTTTGAGTAACAGACGTCTTGAATTCTTCACCGGAAGTCTGCTAGGTGCATGACCCCTTGATTATATATAATTCGATTATAATTTCCGTCATAAATAAATTGCGCACGACGGGATCTTATGAGTTTCCTCTACAACAACACGATGAATATGTTTGTTCTGGAGTTTATGTTTTTGTACTGAAATTAACATTTCTGTACTGGGATACATATTGTTGTGCTGGTGTATATTTTATTGTACTGGTAAATATACTTGCACAGCCAATGAATATGTTTGTGTACTAAGATATAGAATGCAGTAATATAATATATATTTGTGTATTACCTTTGTGGGCCACCGTACAAAATAGCTGTCTTAGATAAAACAAAAACAAAAACAAAACAAAACAAAAAACAAAAAAACAGGACTACTGCTTAATTAAATAGCTGAAAGAAAAACTGAACTGTTCAGTAAAAGAAATACAGCAAGCAAGGAAAGTATATCACCGTAATGTATCGGTCAAATCGAAGCTTCAACATGCCCCCCCCGGGCACCCCCCCGGGCGTTTGACTTTTTTGAAAATTATTGTTCAAATTCCCCCCTACCCGGGCCAAAATGCCGTTCAAATGCCCCACACTAGGGTCCATTCAGGTGATCAAATGCCCCCACCCCGGGGACATTTCACAGGCACAAAAATGACAGAAGCACAGTGGAAACGCCTTCAGTTGTCGAACAAAATCTTTATAAATATAACAAAAACTGAGCAACACTGTTAGCGTATTTACTACGAACAAAAGTCTCGTGCAAAGCGGCAAAAATCGCTGCTACAAGGTCACTGAATGCTCAGCTTTTCTTTGTCATGCAACATACAAAGCGTTCTATAAAAAAAGATCCCACCCATTGAGATTACTACATCATGACCATTTCACTGACATGCATCATCGCTCACCTTATTAATTAACATACTTGCAGTAGGTCAGAGTAGTTGACCGTTTTATTTTATTTTATTTTATTTTGTGTTGTTGTATTGAATCGCCGGTATTGGTATTGTATTTCATTGTAACCACAACAATAAAATACATTCGTACATTCAAAGCCTGAATCCAATATTAAAAATTTTAAAATTTAAATACTTCAAATACGGCACAAAGCTTGTTTAAGCCCTTTCCTCGTAACCAATTGGCCACAAAAGCACAATCTTTCTAACACCGCGTCCCCCATAATAGCTCGCTACGACAAAGATTTTACATGAAATCGAGGGTGCAGTTCAAATTCCCCACCCCTAAAGCATGGGGATCAAATTCCCCAACCCCTGGAAGACTCTGGTAATCAAATTCCCTCCTCCCCGGGACGGCAAAAGTGTCAAATGCCCGGGGTATGCCCGGGGGGGGGCATGTTGAAGCTTCGATTTGACCGATACATAAGTGTTACCTGAATCTTAGGTGGACAAAAGATTTATGAATTTCATTAAAATCTCTATAAATAAAATCATTGATCAATACGAATAAAGCAGCGTCTGTGCTTGTGCGAAAGCCTAGACGGGTTATTTTTATTTTTCCAGCAAATGAGTCTTA